AGCTGCTCTGCTTGAATTCATGAAGCATTTATAAGCATCTCTTTCCTGAGTTTGTAGCATCACGTTATCAGGTTGATGAAATAGTTCCTCTTGTAACTACTGCAACTTAATCTGATCTCTCTGAGCTTGCACTTCAATATCTCCAAAATGACCCCGGTTCAGCTTCCTTAGACAAGGCTTTAATCTTCTTAGTTTCATGCATAGCTGAAACATGCAAGTTCCCTTCACTCCTTTTTTCAGCTCTTCCTTACTGTTTCTAAAAATTTGGGAGACAGATTCCACATATTAAAGAAACGAAACGGCCTGATTATACATGTCATTTCTTCATGTATTTCCACCAGAATAGGCGAGTGGTCTGAAATCCCTTTTGTAAAAACTGTTGCCACTGATTCCGTATACCTATCCACCCATTCTCCATTTATCAAAGCTCTATCAAGCTTTGAGTATATTCTCTCTGCCCCAAGCTGCATATTACACCATGTGAAATATTGCCCCTGTTGCTTGATATCTGCTACTTTACAAACATCAATGCAATCCGGAAAGCTGCCATCTCTACAGCATTAGTTGTTCTTCCTCCCAGTTTCTCCTCAGTCTTCAATATATTGTTGAAATCCCCCATTAGAATCCAAGGCTTCATCACATCCTGAGCTAACTTTTTTAAATCATCCATAGAACCCATCTTTCTTCCACCTTGTTACTAGCATATATACCAGTAAACAGGAACTGTTCGTTTTCTTTTTTCAACTTCACAGAATAATGCAGAAACTGTTGTGACTTAGCTTTAATTTCGACCTCCACACTATCATCCCAAAACATCAGAATTCTCCATTTCTCAAGTCCATCTGAATTGCTAATTCATTTTCTGTCTAGCCAGTATTTCTTCATATACTCCTCCCCTCTACTTGGTGTCAGCTGTGTTTCCACAATACATGCTAAACTAACACTATAATAATTTAAAACCCTCCGTAATTCTTGCTGTTTAACAGGGGAATTTAGACCCCTAATATTCCAAGATAGGATGCTACTCATTAGGATCCGGTTCAGGGTCTAACAAAACACTGTCTTTTGCAAGCTTACTAACATTTGAAACACTTACCATATCTAACAGATTAGTTATTTGTTGGGTTTATCCACTAAGGATTGCCCAGCAGTAACTTCCTTAGTATCCAATATGGTATAACTGTTCCTGGTTAAAATTCTCACGGGACTGACAACCATAGTAGTTGAGATAAATGATTAGCCTCTACTCTGGAACCTTTTTTGATAAACTCGGAGACTTGTATCAACAGGTCCCTCCTCAGTATCCAGGCTAAGACTTAACTCGTTGCCACCCTTAATACTCTCTTCAACCTTCTTACCAGATCTCCTCCATTCCTGGATATTCTGTTTAGGCTTAATTGCTTCAATCTTTAATTTCGGCACTTTTCTGTCTTGTGACCATATCCATTGCAACACCCACACTTCGTAGGAGTCCACTCATACGTGATCTTTTGTATTCTGACAATGCCTTTCTCATCTTCAAACACGATTTTATCCGGAACATTATCAGAAATTTCCATCTGCACTAAAATCCGAGCAAACTGGACTCTAGTTTTGTTTACAGTGCAATCATCAGCCATTATAGGACAACCAATTGTACTAGTAATTCTACCCAGTGATTCTAGATTCCAAAACTTAACTTCTAATCCATGCAGTTGAATCCACCCCGGTACCTTATCAACCTCTTTATAATTCAGACCTTTTTCTACATCCCAAGGTTTAACTATTATCGGCTTAGCTCCAAAATGATATATATTCACAGAAAACACATCATTTCTAGCTTCAAAATTATTATTATTATTTTGAAGCAAGAGTGGGGGATTTCTAACCTAAATCAATTTATTACAAAGTCGAAAACGAGTTACGAGTGAATGAAGGTGCACGCACGGCATTGTGGAATCGGCAAAATATATTGATAAATGTACTGAAAGTTCTGTTTTTTTTTTTTTTTCACAAAGAAAGAAATCAATACCTCTTCTTCTGATTTCTTTTTGGTTGAAGCTTGAACAACAAAGTCACAAAGAGATTAGAAACAATTATTCCATAACCGCCCAAAATAAAAATAAAATTAAAGAGAACGGATTTGGTATGCCAAACCATGCATTTAGAGTGGCAGAACAAAAATTCTAAATAAGATGGATAAAATGAAATATTTCTATGTAGCAGAGATGAAATTCTAATATTACAAAATTTTAAACCAAAAATTGTAACTCTTTCTTAATAAAAAAATTGGGGGAAGAGGGCGACCGGTCCTACTAGTCCCTATCTTCATGCAGTTATATACTCTTTTGAACTTTTTTAGAATTATATAGTTTTAAGAAATCCTAACTTAAAAAACTAAAGGCCTAGACAAAATGGCCGTATCCTCCTGAAATTAGTATTTTCTTTGTTCGGAAATGATTCTCCATTTATATTAAAAGAAACAAATTCAAATTGAACAGTTATTTTGCGACACGATAAACGAGAGATTCAAGAATTTTTGTAGATGTACCTTCTTACACTCAACAATGATATATATCAAGATAGTGAAAGTGAATAATGATCTAGACGGGAATTGAACGACAGTCTAATGGTTAGGTTGTTATCCTTCCTGGTTAGACTAGGGTTCGATTCCCACCAGAGGTTGTAGGGAGGGGGGTTTACCTACATTTAAGTCAGGTCAACTGGGATGGATATTTAAAAAAAAAAAATCTAGACATAACAAGTGAAAGAGATCATTAGGCAAATTTGAAATATTATTTTATTATCAAAAAATGACTATTTCCTTTATCTCAAAATTATTGTCTAGTTTGAGATTTCACTTTTATTATAATTTGAACTAAAAATAAAAATCCAAACTGGACAATAATTTTAGGACGGAAGAAGTATAAGTTCTCCTGTGTTAATTCCGGGAAAAAAAATCTATCTTACGTACAAATTTTTACGATCCCCACTAGTAGGAAAATTCGCCGATAGGAGAGTGAATCGACAGTTCCGGCAGATCCGGCAAAATTATTCTCAACGCTACCTCACTTCTATCACACCAAATGTTTTATAGTTGGTCAGCTTCTTTAGGTCAGATAGATATTCAACTCAAAATTATTTAGCGATTGTTGAAATATAACTCAATATATGATATTCTCTTAATATTTAGTTGGTTAACTTTTCGATGGGAGAATACTTATGATATCCACTGTCCAACATGACATGAGTGCACAAGAACGACTCCAAACACAATAAAGCCTTCTCAACAAAGTACAATCCGATATATATATATATATATAATTATATATATACATATATATATTTATAAATTGCAAAACTCAACAAAATCTCAGGGCTGTACAAAGGAATTACAATCGGAAATCTCATCTCCTTCATTAGTTTCTGATATCATGTTGAAGTAACGAGGATACCCCTCTATTAGCCAGACAAGAAAGCCAGTAATTCATCGAGAAAAAAAAGTAAAAATAGGATTAGGTTTTTCATTGAATTTAAAAAAAAAAAAAAAAATCCGAAAGAGGAACATGTTTCCACGTGCATGGCAAGCCGGGAACTCAGTGTTGGGAAGCAGGAGCTCGTGTTTGGAACGCATGCACACACGAAATCTTCAAACTCAGCTCGCTACGTGCGTGGTTGCTGCGTGTTGTATTGTGAGTTTAATTAATTATAATTAAAAAGGGATCTTCATTCAAGAGATTGACATCAGGGCTTCTCAAAATGTCAACGAATCCTATTATTTTAAATTTGAAGTCATTTTTAATTTCAAGTTTTAGAAGACGATTGATACTGACATTTTGAAGAAGAAAAGAAAAATATTCAAAAGAAGATAATCCTTATTGGAGAAAAAGAACCTCTCAAAGGAGCTAACTGCAGTGGGATGGGGAACAAAACAAATAATTTCAAACTCGGCCGGCTTGAAAAGATATATGGCTAACGAAAAAAAGAAAACAATTTGCAATTTGCTGAGTAACTGGGGTTTTATTGATACTCATTCCGTCCCATATCCTAAAAAAATAAAAAATGAAAAATTTCGCCCCATAAAAAGGAGCCATGTTTGTGGAATTGTGTTTTTTCAATAAATTCAATTCTTGTTTTGTTTTTTTTTTAAGAGTATAGAAGTTTTTGCTGTAAATTTATCTATTTGTTTTTCTACTAAAGATATTCCGTACCAAAGAATATTCCTCCAAAGAGAGAACAAAAAAAAAAAAACCTTTGGGACTAATGGACATATAAAAATTATTTGCGGTTATGAATTTCAGTTCGTTTGGACTTGGTTGTGAGCTATTTTGTACCTAACTATGGAGTATGTTAATGACCATTTCTACCTGATGTTCAATAATTTGAAGAGGGCACTTCTTCAATTTATGCTTGAGATTTTGGCTCTATAAACGAGTTATATGTGTATGTTTTCATTGACAATACGCTCATGAATGTACACAACTCTTAATTCAATTTCTAACTTTCTTTTTATGATTCTTAATCCAATGAGGGGGCAAATTTGAAATGAATTTCTCAAAATGATTGTCTGTCCCAATCAATTTGGGACCAAAAGAAATTATAGATTGTTTTCGGATTTTTTTAAATGCATTTGTTAGTTTTACTAAAGTAAAAATATTATTGAAAAGAAAAAGAAAAATAGCCATTGGTTTTATACATTAGACTGCAATGGCATTACTGTACGTATATATAATGGATGTGTTTCCTCCTCCTCAAATAAATAGTCCAATTTAAGATCTATTTACTTTGATAGTGATAAAGAACATTAACCACTTTAATTTTACATCATCATTGTATAAATAAATGATCTAATTAACTATTGATTATTTATGATGGAAAATCGTCATCTAGCTAACCACTAATTTTCTATTTCATAATTTGGTGAAATGATGAGGTCATGTGAAACTTGTACTTGTACTCTACGAGTGTATTTATATGGAAGTACTTCCTCTACCTTGAGATTTATATTTTACAGAATCAAACATTAATGAAAAAAACAAAAAAACAAAAAAACTCAACTCCAAAAATGCTAACCATTTCGCAGCCCTTTTGTGGTTACCCTTTAGAGGATCTGAGAAGCCGTGAAGTGCTTCTACAGAACACGATGATGTACGATAATCTTGCAGAAACAGAAACCTCTGCGGAATCCCTTCTCAATAATTCTCCCACTTTTCATCATCAGAAAAAGAGAAAACAACAAGAAGATCAAGATGGATGCAGCAATCACGAACCCGTTAAGATGGCGAAGAAGATTAATCATAATGCGAGTGAAAGAGATCGACGTAAGAAAATCAATGGCTTGTATTCCTCTCTTCGCTCTCTTCTTCCACCCGCATATCAAGAGGTATGAATATTCTTTGACGTATTCTTTCATTATTAATTGTTGTTGGACGAATTTCAATAAGAGTAACAAAGCCCGAATGCCTGATTTTATAATTTTGGTCACTAAATAACACTTTTTTAGTTTTCATTTCATTTTTTCTTTCAAAATTTCTTTCAGCTTCTGTTTTTTGGAAATGGTGGATCATATGTACATATAGCAAATAAGTCAGAAAAAGAGAAGGCAAAATTTAAGAGAGATTGTTGAAATCAAGCATATAATGGAGAGGGAAAATGTTTGTGAAAAATTGTTGCTCAATCCCCATCATTGAGTCAACTTCATTACTATATTTTGAATCTTAGTTATATTATAAAATGACTTCACTTGGTTTAACATACCCATTCGCCTTTCTCCTTTTTGTCTAGTTTCAGATTGTTATTCTCATGTAGGCACGTAATTAATTAGCAATTTGCAAGTCTTCCCCCTCTTGAAATGTTCAAATTTAAATTACTGGTAGTAAAGAAACATTACTTTTTCCAGTTCATTAATTAAAAACGCAGTATTTTATTAGATGATTAATAAATGAGATAATCATTTAAAAAAATACAAAAGTATATATGATATAAAAATATGGTGATATTTTTAGAGTATTGACGTGATATATTCATTTTTGGTTTGCAGTGTGGTTGCATAACTTGCTTGTTGATGATTTTTTTTTAAAAAAATAAAACTCTTGAATTACACTGGATTTGAGTTTAGTTAATCACAGTGATTATTTTTAAGGGTAAAAGGAAAATGTATTTTTGTTTCTTTTAACTTAAAAATTCAAAATGCACTTCAACTTATAAGAAAAGAGTATGAAGCTTTATATCTTAATAACACAAATGATAAATACCAACAATAATGTGTGAAATTGGCGTAAAATACATATGATGAAGACAACTATATTATATGTGGTGGGAGGGTTGGGTAAGGTAGTTTGTTTTCGGTTAAAAGTTGTTATAACTGTAAGTTTAGGGCTTGATTCTGATTGGGATAATTTATATAGACAAAATTTATCGGTACATAAGTAAATGTTTCTTGTTGAGTTTAGAATCTTGAACATGATTAATTAGACTTTAAATTGAGTATTCTGATTGGCGCATTAGTTCACATGACATCATCAATTTTAAATTGAACACTTTGATTGGTTAATATATTAACATGACATAAGTAATTTAAAACAAGACTACAACGGTCAATTAATAAAGTTGATTTTTTTTTTGCCAACCAAAATATGTCATTAGTTGAGAGAAATAACATTTTATTAGCGTGTTAAATAACGACGTTTACTACCTGAGGTTGTGCCTATTTTCTGTACCCATTTTTTCTTACTACCCAACGTTGCTTTTTTCTCGATGGAAGGAACATCGATTATTCTCCTTTTCATGTGGAAAGAGAGGGAAAATCGACGTTGTTTCCTTTTCATCCATTAATTTGGATATAATTTTTTAGTTTCTATGCATATTCTGGATTTTAATAGCAATCTCATTTAAGAGTGGACATTATAATCATTCGCCTATTATTTGATAAAAGCAGATATGCCAATTCTTATATTTTTACATCTCAAGAACAATCGGAAAAAGATCAATACTATCTACTAACGATTAAAAAGAGCACCTCCGAAAAGAAGAAATCAGATTGATGGAACAAGCTGAAAACCCAAACACCTCATATTTGTGCTACATAAGTGACATGAGAACATGGTTTCTTTTTCTTTTTGTTTTTCCGCATCGGCATTTGCTAAATATCTGTGCTAATTAGCATGTTGCTTACATTCATTGTGTCTTGAATCATAAATTCAGAAGCATGGAACATTGAATATCCGAACTGCTGCTGACATGAGTGTAATACTTGTTAAGATAAAGAAAAGATCAGTTTCGGAATGTGGACAAAAATCTAAGTTAGATAGAATTGGTTGGTTCAGAAATCCGAGTTGGGAGGAGATGGTTGATTCTCTATTGCTTTGTTTAGAATAGCTTTGTTGATAGGAAAGACTTCTAATGATCTCATTCAACAAGATAAAGATAATTATCTTTAAGTAGTTTCACGGCTCTTGCTTGTGATTGTTTGGATTCGCTTTTTTTTTTTTTTTTTTCTTCTTTAACGTTAAGCAGTGTATTTTCATGAAACAATTTTAATTGCTTCACCTGTAAATTTTGGCACGTCAATAAAAAAATTCAAATAATATGACCACTTAAACACATGTTCTTATCGACATATCACCCAAACTGGTCGCGCGTAGCGCGACGGAAAAAGAACTAGTAAAGTACATAAAATTTATCTTTACACAGTGTTTTTATTTTTTAATTTTTTCCTTGCAGAAAAAATTAAGCATCCCTGCAACCGTTTCTCGGGTGCTAAAATACATCCCTGAGTTGCTAAAAGAATTGGAAGCATTAGCCCAAAAGAAGGAATGTCTTGCAAGAAAATTATCTGACCAAGAAAATTCAGCATCTCACAAAAGGCGAAAACTAAGTTCAACCACAAGCTCGACATCTTTAATTGTTTCTTTGTCCCAATTAAATGATCGAGAAGTGATGATTCAAATAACAACCATGAAGTCTAGCAGTTGTCTGTTTGCTAAAGTTCTTTCAAAGTTGGAGCAGAATGGCCTTGTTTTACTGGATTCATCCTGTTTTGAGTCCTCCCAAGGGAGGGTCTTCTACAATTTGCATCTTGAGGTATGTCTAAATCTTAGTGCTTTTTTTTTTTTTTTTGGTGGTAAAATGTAAAATTTTCTTTTAAGCTCAAAACGCATCAAATGATGTCCTATATTTTGCACTCACAATCTATTACAAAATTATGGAACCATACCATTGGGTTTTTTTTTTTTTAAAAAAAAAAACGAATGTCATTATTACTACCTTAATTTCCTACAATGATATTGTACCCTCCATATAATTTATTTATTGATCTCCTTCACCCTTGGCTTTCGCTTTTTTTTTGTTTTTTTTTTTATTCATGTTTTTACATAAATGATGGAGGGAAGTTAGGCGATTGTATAGTTACAGGTGGCGAGAATCAACTTCAGATGAACAAGAATGATAAGGATAATACCCTGCATTAACTTATTTGTTAACCTGTATTTCTTTTTTTTTTGTGGGGCCTGAATTTACTATAAAAATGTTTTTGAATTACTCCCTTTAATAAAAATGTTTCTGAACTCAAAATTGCATAGAAATCATTTGTCAGATTAGATGTTTTAATGTAGATAGAGAGATCCATTAAGATAGGCACAAATTAACCCTAAAATTTCCGTCCATTACTTGGAATGCAAGCAAAAGGAAAAGAAAAATGGAGAATTTGCAAAGTTAGCTTATATTTTGTCCATTGTTGAATTTGAAAGGTGACTGGAGCTCAAGCCACAGACATGGAAGGATTAAAAAGGCAGCTTGTATCATTGGATGAGAATCAAGAGGAGCTTCTCCTCTCAAATTTCAAATCTATTGGTCAGCTTGCAGAGATTTTCTATAAATAATTAATCCGTTATTCCTTTCGTCCCATAAAAAAGAAAAACTATAGTCGTGTTTTAGTTCGGCAGATGGAAACTTATTTTACTTTGGGACGAAGAAAGAAATGATGCGATATAGATTGCAGATATATATAAACTATAAAAGTTACCTAAGCTGTAAATAGGTTGGTAAGGTGTATTAATGGAATAAAATTTTTGTAGTAGTTTTATTATTCCAATCACGGTATTTTTAACTACCAATCTATATTATCTTACATAATCACATCTTTGTTTCTTACTTTTAAAATAAATGATGATCTCTCTCTTTTACATACTGCCTCCGTCCAAAAAACTAAATACATATATGTATATATATATTGTAATTTGTAAATTGGATTGATTTAAGTACAATTTTTCATGGTGAGCCGAATCAGAAACTACATTCAAGAAAATTAAGGTGTCAATCTTGGTATAATTGCCAATATATTAGAATTTGGAGTACCAGCTCTCTTGGTAACGCCTCTGATGGATGAGACGGCAACAAAGGAAATGAGAATTAATTATTCGAGAATCCTCATTGAAATGGATCATCATGAAACTATGCCGAAGGCTTCCTTAGAGATGTACAATTTTAACTTTGGTTGATTACCGTAAATTTAATGTTTGTTTTTCGAAAAAAAAAAAATGAAACTATGCCTTTTTAGAGGATGAAAATGGAGTGTCAATATTCCTGAACCTCATAAACATCAAGAACCAATATAATGAATGATTTTCGAATCACTTCAATATATAGCTCCCTCAACTTCATGTTATATTCCTTTTTTTTAAAAAAAAATAAAATCTGAAAGGTACTTTAGTTGATAAAAATAAGATATTTGTATGTATCGTCAATAGTGGTTTGGGATATAATAGTATTAATTGTAATCATGCGTAGTATTTTGGAAGAAAAAATATTTTCACTAACACCACGTGCTACCGTTAATAGTGGTGATTGGAGATTAAGTATAAAATGATTTGTTGAGATGAACAAACTTAATATCCAGGTCAAAAAGTTCTAAAATGGTGCATTTCATATCTCTACATTTGAGTTTGAGAAATACTAACTTCACTAATTTTGGGTTCAAATTATTGGTGATAAAACTGGTCAAAATCCCAAACATAAAAGAACTATGTGAATTTTTTGTTTTTTATTTGCCAAAATAAGAATATTGCAAAAGTTATTGACACATGATAGACGCATGCTTTCGAGACGAAAAAGAAAGGATTAATAGTAAGGTTTAGGTTGTTTTAAGCTCTTTTTAGAAAAGAAGTGTATTTAGATTTTTTTTTTTTTTTTTTGTCCTTTTAGGTGAAAACACAGATGGTTTATTTGGTCGGAGTTCAAAAATAGCAAGTGTGGCGTTTTAATTCAAGACAGGATGCATACGGGAGGGTTTTACTATTATGCATGTAAATTTTTGTAATTATGGAATTTGTTGTAAGGGCTTTATTTGACTTAGACGATAAGTTTTAAGAGCAACCCCAATGTATAGTAATTGGCGCTTGAAATGCATGCTAATTACTAGCCAATCAGGACTTTTCTATTACAAATCGTGTAAAAGAAAAAAACTTATAAGCTCTGTTATTACTTCTCTCTTCACTGAAAAAGTCAGAAGAACTGAGGAAGGAGCCAAGACATGCTTTAGAGAAATAAGCATATACATGTCCTCTATATGATGAGCCACAAGAGATCTATAATATTTTTCAGAAAAAAAAAAATCGTTTACTCGGATGTGTCAGAAAAACTGAGTTGGACTCAATTGGAATTATTCCCTCTGTCCCAAAATTATTGTCCAGTTTGTGATTTCACTTTTAGTACATTTTGAATTAGAAATGAAAATCTAAAGTGGACAATAATTATGGGACGGAGAGAGTATTTTTTACATGTGTCCATTGAGTTTGCTTTAAGAAGGTGAATTTGTTTCAAGGGATTCATTTGACTTAGATGACAGGTTTTAAGAGTAACCACAACTCACACTAATTGGCACTTGAAATGTGTACCAATTACTAGCCAACCGAGACTTTCTAATTGTTAAATTGTGTAAAAGAAAACACTGGTGAACTCTGTTATTATTTCTCTCCCTACTGAAAAAGTAAGAAAGAGTGGAACCAGGACATGCTTTAAAGGGGGAAAAAACATACAAGTCTTGTATACCGTAGACTAGAAGAGGTCCACATTCCTTACCAAATTTAGTAATTAGCATGGGAGAAAAAAAAAACCGTTTTACTTGGAGGTCTCAAAAAAATTAAGATGGATTCCATTAGAACTACTCGCTAAGAAGATGAATTTGTTCCAAGGGCTTCATTTGACTTAGATGATTCCAAAGGTTTCATTTGATTTAAATTGGCTTTAAGAAAGTTGAGACGGAAGCGAATAATCAAAAGTATTATCGCTTTTTCTAAATAAGAAATAACGGAGTTCATTGAAGGTAATATCGGGAATAAGGAGAAGTGGAAAGTGTATTTTATGAGGTGAATTTGGCAGCTGGATATCATGGGATTAGTACATTTTTTACTGTTGATGAGCTTTACTAGCTAAAAGTAGAGCTGTTTCCAAAATAAAGGGATGAATAATGTAAATACCGTTTTTCTTAATTTTTAGGGTGAACTACATTTTACCCCCTGATGTTTAGTCTATTCTACCATAAATCCCCAAGTTTAGATAATACTACCAAATACCCCATGAGCAAGGTCAAATATTAAAATGACTAAAATGACCATGATTTACATATACTTTATTTTCTTTTTTTTTCCGGTTTATTTTTTTTTTTTTTCATTTTTCGACCATTGAAAATAAAAATTAGTTAAATTTATCATTTTCACATCTAATTATAGCATAAGTTAAGAAATAAAAGTTAATTCAGGATTAATATAAATTTATTATACTTTATAAAAAAAGTTAATTAATGAAGATTATTTTATTTCAGAAGATATGAGATTGTTAATTTTGGAAATTTATTATTATGGAATTAATATAATAAAAATTAATGTGTAAGTATCTTTTTTAAAATTAATTTATGATTTATTTTATATAAACATTTAAGTTGTGTAATTTAAAAAATATAGACTGAAGGGTATTTTTGTCTAATTGCACAAAATTGATGATGATGTTAGTAAGAGTTAAGGGGGTATATATAGCAATATTACTAAGTATCAGGGAGTTTTTGGTAGATTGGGCTAAAACTCGGGGGGTAAAATGTAGTTCTCTCCCTTAATTGACTCAAATAGAAGTATAGAACTCCACTTAGGAAGCGATCCTCTGGAAGTAAACGAATTCAAACAGAAATGGATGATAACAGATTGGAGCAGATGCTGATTCATTCATTGTTGCTTATCTTCGTAACAACAATCTCAATCAGGTTTCCCCTTTTCCCCTTTTTTCTGCTCTGTGGTCTATGTTTATTATCATAGGTTGAAATTTTGCTGAAATGGAGTAATTTCACTTGGGAATAATCTAAGGGTTCTTGAAGATTGATATTAGTTGGGTGAGGGTTTTTTTCAAAAAAGCAAATCGCTTTCCTCGTTGTTTATCTCAGTGAGATTACTAGAAAAAAGAAGTAATTTGAAGCCTTAGCAATGGTGAACGGCTAGAGTATCATAAATCAGTCAACTACTAAAACGGGTTTTTCGGAAATTTAGTTTTACCACGAATTTCAGTAGCTTTATGACATTAGTCATAGTCCCTAAATTATATCAAATCCTTACGTTTCTTTTCCATTGAGTAATTAGTTCAAAGAATTTTAAGTTGCTGATTTTACTTGCCCTATAGTTAGAATCTTTGGGGATTTTGAGTGTTATCCTATGTTTTAAATTGCAAAGTACATCCTAGTGTTTAGAAGCTGATGATATGCGATGTCCGGATAAGGATTGGCCCGTTAAGGCTTGAACTTGTGACTAGAGTTCACATAGTAACAATTGTACTGTCAAGTGAAGGCTCCTCTTCCCTTGATTTTGATTTGCAATCAAAAAACAAATTCATTTATAAAATTGTTCTACTATATCTTGAGCTTTTTTTAACTACAAGAAAGTTGTTGTCTCTGATTAAGCCAGCCTTCTTCATTTTACAGGCTGCAAGTGCTGTTGCTACAGCTACTATGACTCCACTAATGATGCTTCCTCCTAACAAGCTTCTTGAGTACAGGCTAAGGTTCGTATTTTTGCGTAAGGTCCCACATCGATATTGGCTTTGTTTGTCTGTGTAGACTAGTCCCTACTTTCATTAACTAGCCAAGGAAAATGGATATGTGGGCTTTCTGAGAGGTTAACATGGCCTTGCAGTTGAGAAAGATATAAAACATTAAGAGGAGTCCCTTCAGTGCAATGTTCGATTCGAGTATTCATACAGGATATGGCTCGATACCATCTCCTCGTGCTGCTGCTCTTGACTATCTTTTGCTGTCATTATGATTGGTTAGTATGATTGAGATATACATAAATTAATAAGACTGCTCTAGCTTTTAGGAGTTTGGTTAGTATGATACGAGATACACCACTTGCTGCCGGGAGCTCATATTGACACTTTATGTATACCATGTGTCCAGGAATTAATGTACAATTTAAATCCACGATTTTGCAGAACCTAATTTTTGCCTTCTTTTTGTTTTTTCCGTTATAAGTTTATGGTGAAATGGAAGTTACATTAAAGGCACATGACAGATTAGTTATGTTCCTGTTACTAATTGTGCCTTATGGGATGTATCGTGTTTCTCTTTAATGTTGTGAATTGTGATAGTAAAATGATTAGAGAAAGAGTTCTTGTCCTTTTCTTTTTTTTTTCCGTAAACAGTTATTATCCTTTTTATTTCTGTAAATTGATATCACTACTGACTATCATAATTGGTCGATACTCTGTTATTCAATTCGAGCTCTATCACCTTGATCTACTTTGTTACTGTCTGGAATCGCTTCTTGTTTGTCTCTTTTAAGATTTCTGTATCAGTATTTCTAGTGTTTATCAAAAATTATGGAGGCAACTGTATAGTATCTATGACTTGTTGAGTTTTATTTACAGAATAGGCTTGAATCTCGAGACCCAAATTTCTTAGTTGGTATTGTTTAAAATGATCCATTCATATTTCAAATTCCTGTCTTGTGATACTGCACACCCTTTTCTTGGTACCAGAACATGACTAAATCAATTACAGGAACTGACCATCCAATTCCACATTTATATGACATTAATACTTACCCATCGTCACCTTTCTGCTACTTTCCAAGATTCTGGTGTTAGTGAAGCTATAAATCAGGCACAACTGATGCTTTAATTGTTTAATATTGAAGGAGTTTATGGTGATTATGAAGGGAATAATATGGAGCTTTCCGACTATTCAATGTAGGTGAGGTATTCAACTACTGGGGCATTACATGTTTCTGCATCCAAAGATGGAGCTATTCGGTTGCGGATGGGGTCAGTGCCAATTGTGTCCACACAATTGCTGGTGTTCGAGGAACTGCTGAAGCAAGTAGAGAAAGTTTTTACAAGGGACCAAAGGTATGTAAAGTTATTGGTTTTTGTTTGCTTTCATATTGTAAAACACTGATATCCTTGTTACTAATCGCTGCAACTCTTAGAATTCTGTTGTGAAACGAAAGAAATGGAATACATATCAATGAAGACAGAGCTAACATGAAAACTAATTGGCTTACGCTGTGCAGCCTTATTAAATTTATTCATTTATGTACACATGCAATGCAGCTTGCTGTAATGTCTTCAGTTTGTAGGATCTCTACTTATAGACCATGAAATTGATCAGAAAAAGATACCTTGGCTTGCATTTGACACTCCTCCATACCCATCTATAGTGTTAAACATGTTTTTTGGTGCATTTGTATGTTATATTGTTGTCTAAGGTAAATTTTCTGCGAGAAATGCAACGCTTCCACATGTCCTGAAATGTTGATAACTTTATAAATGAGCCTTCTAAAATTTGTCATTGTTAGGTTTATTCAATATTGTGGGAAAGACTCTTCTGCAAATTTCTGAGAAGGCGGTACTGGAAGATTGGTTAAGCAGTATCTTGGAAGGTATGCGACATGCTGGCACTGGTGTATTTGCTAAAGTGTTATCTCTTTTCAATGTAAATGCTTTTTCCTACACTATCGAATTTGTTACCCTATGTTAGAAATCGAAGTGGTTTTCTTGGACTCAATTAGTATGTTGTCGCTCATGATTTGTCGATTCATCTTGATTAGCTTAAAAGGTTTCGCAACCTATTTTACGGTGCTCTGCAGCCGGGTTGGGGATTTGTAACAGTACATTTTCCAATTTACCTGATCTACACAGCCATAATTAGTGGATAAATTGATGGATGTCAGAGAAAAGTTGTGAAACTTACTTTTACTTAGGCAAAGGTTAGAAATAGTTCTTTGTAGATGTGTGGGAGCAAAAATCTCATTTACCAAACATGTTATGTTTTGTGTTTTCGTCTATGAATTTTGTTGTATTTAGGAAGAGTAGAGAAGAGGTTTGTACAGTTAAAATAATGCCACTTTGTTATTTTGGCACATCTTTTTGTTGGGAATTGAAGAATCTCTTCCCTGCTACTTTCATATTGACTCCGTTTTCTCTTCTATTTTTTTTGTTGCAGGCTGTTTTAAGGACACCGAAAATTTATATTGTCCATTATAAACCCAGCAATGAGGTTCATCTAATTTGTTTACTGCTGCGATCTTAGTGGAAGCATTAACCTGTAGTCACCATTTACCTTTTCGAATTTTTGTAGAATATCTATCTGGGATATACTGACAGCAGAGAAAGTGGCTCGAGGGCTATTGGTCCACCCTGTTGGCTGGAGCGCTCAGTGACAGAGGCAGCTTTTGCTTCTTGTCTGACAGATAGGTCGATACATTTCTGGTAGGAGACTCTATAGGTTGATAATGAAGGTTTATTTTGATTGTAAAACAATTGCAGCATGCAAGTTCATGAAATGCAAGATGAGATTGTGTCCAGCCTAATTATTTGAGTCTATTCTCTTTTAGTCCTGGGTTGATTTAATTTTCTTTTTTTCTGTATGTAAGATATAAAAATTAAAATGAAGTTAATGGTGCATTAGGATTCACATTCATGCAAAGATTGACAACAAATAAACACCCGAAGCTTCCACATGTAATGTCAGCAATTGGAATACTTTCATCAGCGATATGACTCAGTTCTGCAGTTTTCCTATTAAAAAAGAAGTTTGTAAGCCCAAAAATCCGTACGTTTTCAAGCGTTTCCTATTAAAGAAGAAGTTTGTAAGCAAAAAAGTTTTCAAGCGACCAACATTTATGTCGAAACAAAACCAAGAACTTACGGATACAAGTACATTTTGCGCATGGTTCTCTTTCGTAAGCCGCCTCCTCTTCCGAGCCATCTCCCCCAGGCAATGCTTACCTCTTCTTTCCTTTCTTAACAGCAATAGGTTTCTTTCTTCTTTTCTTTCTTCTCAGGCAATGTTTCTCTCTTCTTTCATTTCTTAACAGCAATAAGTTTCTTCTTAGCAAACCTAGGATCCAGCTTATAAGTTTTCCGTTCAATAGGGACCCCATTGCTCTAGGCTTCCTTGAAACTCAAAAAATGCTAGAATTGTAAAAACAGACATGACTCCTGATACAATTACATTGCGCGCATGGTTCTCTTTGGCTTCTTAACATAACTAAGTCTAATTTTCTTAAGCCGTCTCCTCCTCCGAGCCATCTTCTCAGGCAGTGTTTCCCTCTTCTTTTCTTTCTTAACAGCAATAGGTTTCTTCTTAGCAAACCTAGGATCTAGCTTATAAGTTTTCTGTTCAATGGGGATCCCGTTGCTCTCGGCTTCCTTGAAAAGTGCATTTGCTTTATCCGATCTTCCATGAGCAGACAATTTTCCTATCAGCAAGTCATAAGTCAGAGCTCCTGGTTCACAACCATCTTCTTTCATCTTTGCAAAGATGCTTATGGCATGATCGATCCTCTCTATGCCGCACAATATTTTTAAGAAGCCGTAATATTCCTTCCTGTTAAGTGCATCACTGTATCCGGCAGACTTCATCCTGTCTATAAACTCATCACCTTCCCCAACCCGGGCTGCTTGAAATAAACTCCTAATTAATAAAAGAAATGTTGTTTCGTTGGGATAACAACCCCACTCGCCCATCCTGTGAAACAAATCTACAGCATCGGTCGTCTTCCTAATCTTACACAAATTACTAATCAACACATTGAAGGTCTCCACATCTCGCGGGACCCCTGCTTCTTCCATTTGTAACAATACTTTTTCTGCCTCGGGTAGCAACAGAAATGGATCCTTCCTCCTACAAAGCCTACAAACACAACCCAAGATGGCATTATAGGCCGAAGTACCAATCTCAAATCCACCCCTATACATCTCTGCGGCTACTCTTTTCACCTCGTCTAGTTTCTCAGCAACACACCACCCTCTGATCAAGGCATCACAGATATATTCATCGGGAAAAAACTCATTAGCCAAACTTTTCACCATTTTCTCAGCAGGTTTAGCAAAACCATAGTCACAAAGTTTGGAGACAATAAACTTCAAAGAATCCTTATCCCTAGTCCACCCATATTCCTTTTCCATTATCTTAAACAAGTGAACAACATCATCAGGCCTTCCAGCCCTAACTAACCTATCAACAAACGACTCAAAGCATGTCTTCCCTGTTTTCCGAACCCCATCAACTAGCACCTCACGTGTGGCTTTAAAGTCCTTCCTCCTCCCAAAATAAATCACAAAATAAGATAACAACTCATCATCCACATGAAAATTAGGTCTTGAACTTACCCATTTGAGAAAATCCAACACTCCGCTCCTAACACCAGGGAACTTTTCTTCAGAGGAACCATTGACTATGCTGGCAACAATATTGAGTGTGCTGGCAACAATTGAAGGCGTGATCTTCACATGAGAGAAAGAAAGATCCAACCTTTGCGACAATGAAAGTGATTCAGCATCTGGGTTCTTTATAAGCTCCTGAGAAAGAGACTTCGCAAGGGATTCTGATCCCTCCTCTTCCGAGAGTGGGTTCTTCTTTTCTCCTCCGCCACCAGTGTCTGAGGAAATGAGCCTCGACGAAATCGAAAACGGCGAGATGGGTTGCGCCCAAGATCCATTGTTGCTGGTCAGATGAGTGAAGAGCTGGTGGTGGTGGGGCGGCGGCTGGGAGGCGGAGTTAAATGAGGAAATTTTAGAGAAGGGAAATCGGGATTCTGTAGAGGAGGACGAGAATGAGCGAAGAAAAGTGCGAAGAGAGGCCAATTGGGAGGTTCTGGGTTTAGGCATTTTGATTTTCGAGAAGAGTTTTGTCTGAAATGCTTCCCCCGGTTTATGACGTTTTTTAACGTGGGACTGTGTGGAGAAGAAACCTAGGAGGAAGCGGGGTTCAGTTGACACCTCACAGTAACTCTCTTTTATGACCCGCATTTGACCCGTGATTCAGTTCGCGGGTCGGTTAATTTCAGTTTTCCTTTTCTTTAGTTAAATTATTTTTTTAGATGTTTTTCTCTTTTTTTTTAAAAAAAATATTATCTTCTAATAAAAAAATAATTTAAGAACCATGTTATATGTCAAATTAATTTACACAACTGTTATAAATAATTATGTAATGTGGATATGTACAAGAGTTATATAAAGAGTTAAATAATTAGAGAGATAACATTTAGTTTGATATTATCATTTAGGAGATGAATATCTATAAATCAATATACAATACATATCTATTATCCCTCTACTTATTTTCTCTCTATAATTTCTATGTCTCTCATTCTTTTTAACTTATTTCAAAATACTTTATCAGCACGATCTTTAGCCAAACTAAGAAGGCTTGATGTGAATCTGAATTTATAATAGAGTGAACCACAAAACAAATCATCAACCTTTAATATATTTTCACTCTAGGTCATAAATTAAATTTATTTGTAACACAGGTTACCTTACTAAAGTTTTAATCCATTTCAGATTATTTTGTTAATTTTGGCCTTTAAATAGTGACGGAAATCTATTTTTCACATGTTTTTGGGTTCAGGGGTTTTTTTGTCATTTTTTATTTTTTAATCTTTTAAATTTTTTTTTTTTTACAATTCTTCTTCTTATACTTCCTAACTTGTATATATTAGTAGTATAATTCTAAATTTTAAAAATTTATTTTCTTTTTGTATTTTAACTTCTAAATTATAAAATTTTTTTAAAAAAATTTAAGAAATGAAGAAGAAAAATTCGAGTTAAAATAAACATGAAAATTAATAATTTACCATTTAAAAAAAAGAAAAATTAAAATAAATTAGGTAAGACAAGTTGTTTCTTCTAGGTTATTTATTTTTTTTCAACTCGATTGAATTATTTAATTATTAATTTTCACGTTTCTTATTCCTTTTTTTTTAATAATCTACAAGTTAATATACAAATGACAAATTAATTTTCAAAAATGAATTTGTTTTTCATTTGTATCTTAACATCTAGATTATTAAAAAAAGAATAAGAAACATGAAAATTAATAATTAAATAATTCAATCAAGTTGAAAAAAAATTAAATAACCTAGAAGAAACAACTTGTCTTAGCTAATTCTTTTAGTTTTTATTTTTGTTTAAAATGGTAAATTATCAATTTTCATGTTTACTTTAACTCGAATTTTTCTTTTCATTTCTTAAATTTTTTTATAAAAATTTTATAATCTAAAAGTTTAAATACAAAAGGAAAATAAATTTTTAAAATTTAAAATTATAACTACCAGTGTATACAAGTTAGGAATTATAAGAAGAAGAATTTTTTTTAAAAAAAATTTAAAAGATCAAAAAATTTTAAAAAATAATAAAATGACAAAAATACCCCTGGACCCAAAAGCATGTGAAAAATAGATTTCCATCACTATTTAATGGCCAAAATTAACAGAATAATCTGGAATGGATTAAAACTTTAGTAAGGTAACCTGTGTTACAAATAAATTTAATTGATGACCTAGAGTGGAAATATATTAAAGGTTGATGACTTGTTTTGAGGTTCATTCTTTATAATAATCTTTTCGGTGTGCAAATTTTATTTGCATACTATAATATCCTTACATTTTGGACGTGTTAGGTTAAATATTAGTATGTACTATTGAATTGGAGTCATAGACTTTTACCTTAATTTATTAAATAAACTAAAAACAGAAAAATCTAGAATGTGACACAAAGAAAATAGTACTTAATTAAAAGATAACCACGAGATTAAGTACTCCCTCCATTCCAAAATAGATGTCGTTGGAGGAAAACCCATTTTTTCAAAATATATGTCGTTTTTGCATTTCGATGCATATTTTGTTAATTTCTTCCAACATTACCCCTACATGGAAAATTGTAATTGTGTTTAAAGTAGAAGTATATTAGAACTAAATAATATTAGAAATAGGATTCCATTGAAAGTAAATGAGGGTAGATTAGTATTTTAATCAAGTATTTATTGTGTTCTTAAACTTTGTGTAACTCCCCCAACGACATTTATTTTAGAATAGAGGGAGTATTTGATAATGACTTGTGTTTGAGTGATTGAAAATAAATAACACAATGTAATACTAAAATAATAGAGCTTGAATAGTTTTAGTGTCTAAAATACTAAAATAATAGAGCTCGAACACAATGTAACACAATGTAATACTAAAATACTAAAACAATGTAATACTAAACACCATTTTGTATATAATTGATTTTCTATGGCTAGGGTGGCAAGCTCGAAAACCTTGTTATCAAAATGGTTATGGTCTAAAAGTTTTTCCATGAGCCATTTTCTTATTCCAAGACCGGGAAAAGTATATAGCATGTTTGGGAAACTAAAAGAAAATTATACTTCATGTCCCGATTTTATTTTCTTACCTTAGCACTACGTGACTTTGTTAATAAAATAGAGAAATCATCAAGTGAAACCTTTAAATCACTTCTTAAACACCACCGCTTTTAATAACTTTGATTATCTTGCAGTTTTCTTTTGTTAAAACTTGGAAGCAAAGCCTAGTCTGGTTACATAGGCCCACATGCACCGCCTTAGCTATATATATATATATATATATATATATATATATATCTTACTATATTAGAAACAAAAACCACACTTAAAGAGAAACCACTACCATTTGCCATATTTTTAAAATAAATTTTATTTTCACATCTCTTAGACTTAAAAGGTAAATTCAGTCCAAATTCACCTCCATCTCTTATTTTCGCCCAAAAAAAAAAATTATGGGTTCATAAAAAACCCAAATCCTCATCCCCATCTCTACCACAATGGACTTCCTAATCAATCCTTTCTCCACAAAAAAAAAAACAAATTCCTCATCAATCATCAATTGAGAATATGTGGTGAAATATACTCCATTCTAATTAGCATGTTCAATCTTTTTATTAGTGATGATCAACTACATCCTAATTAGATAAAATTTCGACTTCAAAAAATATTCTCTTTACCTCTTTATATAAATACAAAGGAAAAAAAAATTCTCATTGATCTTGCTTCGGCCATTGTAGTGGTGCAATTACAGGTATTAATGATTTATCTCCACAGATCATTTGTTTGGTTTTTATTATTTTTTGTTTTTCCCGTTCAAGAATAGTGTTATTATTATTATTTTTATGCGTCCATCCGTTACAGTTACCGTAGCCATTGTCAGGTAATATGATGTGATTTCTTATATGGTTAGTTAGCCTAGAATTTTTGTATAATTTTAGTTCTGTTTGGATTGAATTCATTAATTGGGTTTTTGTTAGAAAATGTGGTTTTAAATTTATTTTTTATATTTCATTCAATTAGAGTGGTTTTCTTTTTTTAATTATAGAGTCTCGATTTTTTTTTCTGTATCTGGTCAGTTATGAGGTGTGTTTTTTCTTTGTTTAATTACTTTTGATTTTTTTTCATACTCTCAGTTGACCAATTATTATTATTATTATTATTATTATTATTATTATTATTACTATTATTTTATTTAGCATTTTTTTTTTTTGTGTTCGGGCTTTCAAGAATATACTTTTTTGGATTTGATTTTTGGACTTTTTTTAGTTCCTCATCATATAAATAATTCAGGTCGCTTCTTCTAATTAATTTATGGGGAGGCTTTTTATGAATTTGAGGCAGAGAGGGAAGGAATGATGTTTCTACGTTTATTTATGTTTTTATACAAATAAATTTCTCAATTTTTAATGGGCTATCTTTTAATTTTTTTTTTTCCTTTATTTGCCATGGTGAGGTGAGTTCCTTTTTTCTATAACTTGAAACCTATGTAAATTTACATTATTTTCATTCTCATATTTGTGATCAACCAGTTTCAACAATTAACCAGTTTCAAAATCATATTTTTGATATTTTACTACCTATAAACTTTTGGAAGAAATAGTTCTAACAATTAAGCGTATACCCGTGGGAGTAAGCTTACTACAAAGCTATTATAAATCTCCAAAACTAAGTATTGATTTGGCACAACCAATGGAGAACATCAATAAATTATCTTACTAATATTTAAACTTATTGGCATGCTTTCATATTTTGTCTAGCATTTACTTCAAGACATATATTTGATCAAGTTTATATATATATTTAAGAAGTAACACTTATAAAACATTTCTAAAATCTTCAAATATTTCTAAAATGTACCGGACCAAATACATTTTCTTTTTATACCAAATACAAACATTTTTATGATCACAGTTATAAAGTATTTCTAAATTCTTCAAAAATTTCTAAAATATATCGGGCCAAATACAAAATATTTTTTTTTCAGATACAAATATTTCTAAGATCTATAGATATATTGAACCAGGGTCGCGCATTGCACGACCAGACATCACTAGTGTATATATATATATATATATATATATATATATCCTTAAGATTCTTTTACTTCTGCTTTGTTTTCAAGCTTTGAGAATATATATTAAGGATATATATTAAGCTTTGAGAATATATATATATATTAAGTTTACTCAAAGCTTGAAAACAAAGCAGAAGTAAAAGAATCTTAAGGATAGGGAGGCTTAGGTCGGTTCAATTAAATATTAAGTTTACTCAAGGGACAAAGCATTTTTTTTTTTTTAACACAAGAATCCTTCAAATACTAAGAAAGGATAAAACTTGACAGGAATGATTTCAAACTCCTACTTCGTGCGTTTCCCTCCCTAATAAGCCACTTCAATAGTTCAATCAGGCTTGTAGATTATAGGATATAAAAAGGAAAGGACAGAGAAGAGAAATGAGGAGAAGAAGCAAGAAGTGATGAAGTACGAAAGACTGAACTCCTATCGCGGTTGTTGCCGCAAGCCGT